CTCAAAAACGTCTTGATAATCCTGATATTGACTTGGAATGCCACTTGAAGTCTTTACGCTTTCAGAAATAGGTGCAGCATAAATAGCAAAAGTTGATCCTTCTTTTGCTGCGTGTATAAATGCTTTTGCACCTATAAGTGTGGGTTTTACTATACTAGACTCATGGTTTTTTACTTGATTAATAGAACTGTTACTAATGCTCCGAGGAAAATCAAGTTTACGAGAAATCCAATCTATTCGAGGATTATACTTTTCTAACCATGATAAGCCTAAAATTACTGGATTAAAGGGAGATCTAATTATATTAAAAATTACGCAACTACTATGACCATTTATTACTACATCTACAGGAAGTGTTTCGTGAGTTACATCTCCAGAAGACAACGGACGACCATCTATGACTTCTACGTGTACAGGTTTAGTTTTTTGTATTAATGATATTCTATGACATCTAGCAAATTCTTCATCTAAAAAACAAGATGAGGCTCCTGAATCTATCAAGGCAGAGGCTTTGTAATTATTAGGTCCTAAACGCACATCTATTATAAAACAAGGAGATGGTTCTGAGGAGAGGATAGGACCTTCATTAGAAGTTGTACAAGATTCCAGCCGCACGGTCCCTATTGTAGCTGGACGTACTCGTTTTCCGACATACTGTCTTCTTTGACAGCCGTACTCTTCATTTTGTAGTTACGTCGCTTCTTTGGACAATGTTGAGCAGTGTGCTTAGGTTCTCCACAATATAAGCACAATCCTTCTTGTCGACGACGAGACTTTTCTTGCTCAGTAAGAGGTTTGAAACGTACCGCATCAATTTGCATATCCTCTACTTCTGAAGGTATGTGTTGAGGAGACGTCGGTGTTGCCATTGAATTGTAGTAACGTTGAGGCCTACTTGTGTGACTCTCGGATCGAAATTCAAAAAGTCGATTGTCGCACTTCACAGCAAAGTCAATTGCTTGACTCAATGTTTGAGGATCAGGTAAATTAAGCATCAATTTCTTTACCTCATATTGTAATCCGTAGAGAAATTGACTCACAAGTGCGGCATCATCCCACTTGATATCAGTTACAAGTTGTCCAAATTGCGAAGCATATAATGTTACTGATCGATTGCCTTGTCGCAAAATACGGATCTTGTTGGTTGCAACACGAATTGCATCATGTTCTCCAAACATGGATCGAAACTCCGCCAAAAAAGCCTCCAGATTATCCAATATTGGATCTCGTCGTTCAAGAAAAGATGAAAACCATGACAATGTTGAACCTGAAAGAAGTGTACCAATGAATCTAACTTGTGACCCTAGAGTTGGATAGCTCTGGGGTTGAAGTTCAATCACTAATTGGACCTGATTGATGAATCCTCGAAACTTGGATCTGGTACCATCAAACTTCTCGGGCAAGGCCACTCTCGGTTCTCTAACACTCGAAGGGTGTTCCATTCTGGGAGAAGGGACATGGTTTGGTGCAGATGTTGAAGCAGCCCCAATCATCTCTATATCTTCACTTCCTACCATTCTTGTTGCTCCTTGTGGTGGTAAATTGAGTTGATGCATCGCAAGCATTAACTCCCTCAATTGTTCTTGCATCTGTGCCATTGCACTCTTCATTTCAAGAAGCTCTGCCATAATAGCACTTAGAAAAGAGAAGATGTCTAATAATGCTCAAAACAAATAGAAGAGAGGAATTGATAACAAAGAAAATACTAAGAACAATATCAGTTTAAAAGAGGGTAATCCGCAACTTCTAATGCGCTTATGTCTTATCAAGAAAAAGGGGTAATCCACTCTTAATCAAGAAAAGACAAAGCTCTGATATTGTAAGTGTACTCTTGTCAATCTGTCAAGGACAAGAACTCGATGAAAGCTAAAGAGTAAGTGAGACTTTTCTCAAAGAAATAGGACAAAATAGAAATATGTATATTAAGAAAGAAATTAGAATGGCTATTGCCAAAATACAAGAAAACTAGAGACCCTTGAAACTAGACTAGAAGCAAGAAAGGAGTTGACAAGAGTGAAGAGGGCTTCACTCTTGCCTCTATATATACTATCTAACTAGAAGCCACATGGCGATGTTCTATAAGACCTCCAATATATGTTGACTTTCTAGGCCACATGCCTTTGCTTACAAGGCAAGTTTTCTATGGATGGACCACGTAGTTAGCTTGTTCTTTAAGCTTCCAACATGTGTGGCACATGGCTAACTTGTTGACCAAGTTTCTAGCCTAAAAGTCAACTATAGACTCCTATAAAGTCAAAGCAGCGTCTATGAAGCTTCTAAGAAGCTTCTCTAGAAGATATTACACAATTAACCTACTTTTATCTACTTTTACATACTTTTATCTATTCATATAGGTAATTATATGTATGTCCGTGATACTGTCTTGGTGTATATGAGCACATTTTTCATATTTGTATAATTTTTTTCTTAGACTTTAAAATACTAAGTGTATGAAATTTTGGAATTGTGGTTCCAACATGATGAACTTTTGCATTATACAAGAGTAGCTCATTTTATTTCTTTGCAAGAATTAGATAAGACATGAAATCAAGATGACTCTAAAATTTCATGTTCCTATATTATTGTGTAAGCATAGCGGATGCAGGAGGAAATGTAGGAAGAATTTTTTCAATCATTTCTTCTTTAGAGATTCTTTGTCCACTCAACTGTAATTGTGAGATAATATAATATATTTTATTATTGAAAGCATTTAAATTTGGAAAATCTAAGACATATAAATATATCCAATCATGATATGTATGAGGAAGAAAAATGGTCTTTTGATGATCAAACTTAGATTTAAGATTCTCTCAAAATTCAACTGAATCTTTTATTTCTAAATATTGACATTGTAATACAGGTACAAGGTGACAACAAAAAAAAAATACTTTTCAATAGATAATAAGAAGAATAGAAGTACTTATAGTAAGAGATTTTCAAATAGAATTATATCCAAGAGTTGTTCTGCAAATAAATTTATTTTTGCCATTTTTACCTATAATAGATAATTATTTCCATCAATAGTCAATGGTAGAAATAAAAAAACTTTAAAATATTGGGATGCAGTGGTGATAATTTGAACTATAGTAGAGATAGTTGAGGATGTTGAAGTACTTATTATAAATAAATCCATAAAAAAATAAGATCAAATAAAAAAATTATATAAAATTCACCTTGAAATATAAATCCAAATAAAATAATAAAGTTAAACTTGAAATCAAAAAATGTTAAAAAATTTAGAGAGTTATTTATTTATTTATTTATTTTTTTAATACAAAAATAAAGGTTTGCAATAGATTGCAATAATAATAGTAATAGTAGTAGATAATAGTGACAGACAACGAGGTACAATAATCAATAGCAGGATGCGGTAGGATGCAACATCTTGGCAACATGGTCATAAAGGCAAGCAAGACATGAGGTATAGCAAGCAATGCGTAGGATACAAAGTGATATAGTATTTTTAAAAAAAAAAAAAAAAAAAATGAAGAGAAGGGCAAGGTGCACACAAGTTTTTAAGAACTAAGACTAGTGTATAGGAGCAATTATGCTGATAATATGTTTAGAATATTTAGAAAGACACAAGAGTAGCTCAAAGTAATATGTACACATATACATATATTCAAGAGAGTATATAGAAGGAAAGAGAGTTTCTTATCTATGTATTTATGTGGTTTGTCTCTTATATACAAAGAAAAAAGGAGAAGATAAATTGTTTCTTCTTACTACATTCCAAATATTGTAGTTACAATATTTATAGTAAATATTATAGAGAGTATTTTTTCTTTATATACAAAAGACAAACCACATCAATACATAGATAAGAAACTCTTTCTTTTTCTATATACTCTCTTGTGTATGTGTGTGTAAGTATGTACACATTACTTCTAGCTATTCTTGTGTCTCTCCATAATATTTACTATAAATACTATAAGTATAGTGTTTGGAATGTAGTAGAAATTAACACCTCTTATGTGTGTGTATGTAGATCCACCTCAATGTAGATATTGTAAGAAATTAAAATATGTAGATGTTTGATCTGAAGTTTTTTGCCAAAATCAAATCCAAGTTGTAATTGGTTTGTCATATCCAAATTGATTTTTGGCAATTTTATTATCATTTTTTTTTTATGATCAAATGCAATTGTTGTCTCAAGACATTTAATACATGTATTAAAAACATGACATCCTTATTTGAGGGGGTTTCAATGTTGTTGAGAGCATTAAATGTAGCCAACGCTTTCTATAATATTTATTGTAAATATTGTAACTATTTATGTATTAAATAATAATTATAATAATTTATTATTATTATTCATAAAAATTTATATTTTTTGAAATTTTTAAAATAAAAATGGACATGACAATTGATCAAAGTTCTTATTCTAGTTACCATTAATTAATTAAATTACTAATTGGAATGAAATCAAATACATGGAACTAAAACAAATACTAAGAGAGACAAAAGCAAGAACAAAAACCAATCAAAACATTACTTAATAACAAGATAAGATATAATCTAGCTCTAGTCTACTAAGTGATGCAACAATTATATGCAATATTTGGATCTTATCATTGAAGTAATGATTTTTACTTACTTACACATGCTAAATAGTGTATACATATATTGAAAACCTAAAGTGTAAATTTTATGGCACTAAATTAAAATTAAATTAGACATACACATAAATAGATGAATGATAATTTTAAGTGAGAAGATTACATAATCATAATCATTTTTTTATTTTTTAAATTCAACAATTTCAGAACCAAAAAGTAATTTGATTGAAACCTCAAGCATATGTTTGTCCTTTTCAGTTAATGTTATTAACAAAGTTGTCCCTTTTTCCAAACCTTGAGAAAATCACTCTGACAAGGCATCAACCAACCAGTGTGTAATAGGCTCCAAAAAGCAAAGCAAGAAACCAGGTAACTAGATCTCACATAAAGGCCCCGGAAAGGCGCATCGTACTAAGCAGCTATTTATAATAAGGAAGGGCAAGGCTCACTTGTGTGTGATGCGTCACTTGTGGGCTCTCTTCAATGGAGCTTTCCAGCTCGCGGGCGCTGCCATATCCGCGCGACCCATCTCGCCTGATCCTTGCTCGCTCGCTCGCTCTATCTCGCTCTCTGCCTTCAATCCCTCGTGGCTCATGCCGTGCAAATCTGCTCCGCCCCGGCCTCCACCATGCCGCCGGTGAGCTTTTGTTCTGGGTCCACATTGCGCCCAGGTAGCGGAATCCAAGCTTGAGCGACGGCAGGAGTGAGATTTACTCCAGCGAGCAAAATGCAGTCGCTGTGGCTGCGTTTTGAAGGTTCCGCCAGTGTGGGGACAAGCCGCTAGCTTTTAGCTGGGGTTGAATCCTGGGTACGTGGGGTTAAAGGCTCTGGTGGTGGTTGTGGTGATGGTTTGGGGATTGGTGAGATGGCCGACGAGGACACTCTGGGTAATGTGGTGAATTTGTGGGGCTCGTGAACTCAAATTTTGTCTGTTTGGAGGAGTGTGGGTCGAGGGGTTTCGTACATTTGATGTTGGTTTTTGTTTGTGTGTGTGGGTGCGTGTGTGTGTGGTAGAGTAGCGTAGACTCAGTGTCTTCGTAAGCTGAGATGGAGTGGAGTGAAGCTCTGGGATTGAGCGTGTTCCTTCAGTAGCAAGATTATGAGCTGCTGGGCTACGCATTCCGTTTTTTTCTGGAGGTTTACGCTCCGATGATGGGTGGTTGATTCCAGACTCTGGCGTTATTGAAGCCTCGAGAGTTGGATATAGCCCTTCTGGAGCATCTTGCGATCTACAGTTTGTGACTGTTGTAAGAAAAGAATCTTGCAGGGAGGATTAGGTGTTGCAACGGTGGTGAGGGTTTTGTTAGTACATTGTGAACTTGGGCCTGTAGCAGCTTGCAGTCGGTATTCTAATTTCAAATGAAATTCATTTTCGTAAATTATCTTGTTAATCGCCTAGATCATCTGCCGTTGTGCTAACTTCCAAGTAGTTATTGAGGTAATCAAGTTCGCGTATTCTTCCACTCCGTTTAAACCTTTTCAGGGCGCATACAGACAGTGGCAACACTCTACCGCACATGCTTTTGCCACGGAGACTATAGCCCTTCGATTATCCTCTTCCGCTAAGTTAGCTCATCCGAAGTTCTACTCTTCCCAACTACAGTGCGAGCTCAGCCACCAACAAAATACAGGATCTTCCCCAATCTAAATAGCTCCTTCCAATTTCGGAAAGATTAAGGCCCTACCTGTGCTGTTCGTCGAAGGCACTCACTTGGATTAGGTTTGAGTTTGATTCCTAGCTCATTTGTTATTTACTGACAGAATTTGAGCATCCTCGGCTTCACTCTGGGGATATAATACTGGTGGAATGAAGTCAATTCATGTAGTCAATGTGCAATTGCCACCAAAGCCATCCAGTGTGCAAGTGATGGAATTCTGACCCATGTCAGTTCCGATGTTTCAGGTGATGCCTGGAGTCTGAAGCGTCCTGAGCATGAATTAAGCGAATTCATTCTTTGATTTTGATGCAGCAGGCATTCCAACAGGCGGTACTGCTGTTGGGTGGGGATTCAGAAATCTTATTTTGACATAGACGTTCCCAACGAACGTCAGTTTTCCTGATCATCTCTCGAACAATTTAGAGGTACAATTTTCGAAATGGAGGATCTCATGGATGCTGCAAGGCGCGGTGATGTTGACACAGTGCAACAGTTCCTGGAGACTACAGCTAGATGCGTTGACACTGTGATGGCTCCCTTCAACATGTCGCCCCTGCACGTTGCCGCAGCAAATGGTGAACTCGACATGGTGAATCTTATTCTCAGGGGCGAAGTTAATCTGTCCATTATGGATGACCTTCACCGAACGCCCCTCCATCTTGCAGCCTACAACGACCACGCAGAGGTTGCGAAAGCGATTCTGGCGAAGGAAGCAGGTCACTTAGACATCAATGCACCTGCCATGTTTGGCATTACCCCGCTCCACCTCTCTATCATGCGGCGCTCACTTTCTGTAGCTGAGATTCTTGTATCTGAGCACCAAGTCGACAAAATGGCACAGACTGAGGATTTGTTGAGTATACTTCACATGGCGGGCGATGTGGGGCAGGATAATATCGTCACGTTTTTGGCACAAAATCTCGCCGAATCCGACATAAGCAAGCTGATGAGCCCTTCCATGGTTGATCGTATCCAGAGAACGCCCTTACACTACGCAGCCCGCGCTGGCCACGTCGACATCGTCAAGCTCTTCTTCCAACAACCATTTTACGAATATCTCGACGTGAATGCCAAAGACGCAGATGGGCTTACACCTTTGCACCTGGCAGCTCGCGTGGGTCACATCGGCGTAGTGGCGGAGCTTCTCAAGAGTGCAAACCTCTCTGTGAACGCGAAGGCAAGGAACCGAAACACACAAGCAAGCCTTGCTGCTCCCACGGATTTGGAGCTGGAGTACCTTCCTCGACCGTCTCTTGTAGACCCGAAAACTGAAACCAGTAATGGTTTCACTGCCCTGCATCTAGCGGCGCGCGAGGGCCACAAAGGGGTGGTCTTCAGGCTCCTGCGGTGTGCTTCCATACTTGTGAATGTGGAAGACAGTGAAGGCCTGACGCCGTTGCATTACGCTTGTATGCATGGTCAAGCTGAAGTTGTGAAGATGCTCCTGGAGAATCCTAAACGGAACGTGAATGTTGAAAGTCATGATAAGTCGACGCCCTTGCACTTGGGAGTCAAGAGTGGTCATATTCCTACTGTCATCGAACTCCTACGCCAGGTATGTTGAATGCCTTGATTTTAAATTGCACCAGAAAACTAGCCATAGAATTGATAGCATTCGATCCTTTTTGATTGATTGGTTCCCTCAATAGCTGTGCAATCGCATTTCTTGCAGACTGACATCAATTGCAACTGTGAGGACGGAACTGGCTCAACAGCGCTCGACATAGCAGAGAGAGAAGGTCACATAAACCTTGTGTGGCTGCTTCTAGAGCACCCAGTGGAAGTGCGAAAGGACCCGGGAGCAGAGCATTTGTACAGCAAGCAGCTAGAGCTAGCGGCCAAAGAGAAGCACACCGACATTGTGAGGCTCCTCTTTCAAAGAATTTCAGACGAGGTCGCGTTTACAGGGGAAACATCCAACCGCGGCCAGAATTTGCTACACTGGGCGGCGGAGATGGGCTATAAACAATTAACTGGTCACCTTCTAGTGTGGGGCTCTGCGCGGGACATAAACATCCGAGACTCTCTCTACAATACGCCCTTACACTATGCCTCCCAGAAGGGTCATATTGATATTGTTAGAATGCTGCTTGCTCGTCCAGATGTGGATATTAACGCAGAGAATCATAGGAAGGAAACACCGCTACATCTAGCTGCCAGGGAGGGATGGTTCGAAGTAGTGAAGGAGCTCAGCTTGGAGACTTCTGGCCGGTTACGGGCTACTGAGGAGGATAAGTATGACAGAACAGCGCTCCAGCTCGCAGTGGAAAATCGCCACAAGGACATCCAGAAGCTTCTCCTCGAGCGGCCTGATGTGCAAGAGTACGTGAATGGCCTCTACAGGGACAGGCAAGTCTACGTGGATGCAGCTAACGCCATTCTCGTGGGTGCAGCGTTGATTGCTAGTGTCACCTTTGCTGCGTGGTTGCAACCTCCCTTGGGGTATGCTCCTTACGTTGGTGGCGAGGCGGGCGCCTCGCAGCCTACTGGTAACTACGAAGTGTATGCCAATTTGCAGCAACATCCAAGCCTTGAAGTGTTTTGGATCTTCAACACCTTGTCATTTTTTTTCTCCATGGCTACTGTGTTAGCGGGTGCTGGGGGTGTTTTGCCCATGCGTGAGGGGTTTATTAAGGATGCTGTGGAGAAGGTGAGAAGAGCACTTCTGTGGACGGCTCTTCTACTGGCAGGCTCCGTTATTTTTGTTCTGGGGGCATTTGCAACGGCGGGATACGTCGTGCTGCCGCCAATTTCCAAGTATCGCCATAACATGATCGTCGCTATTGTCTTTGGGGGGCTAGTCTGTGGCATCGCGCTTAGCGTCTTCCTGCTCAACCTCTACCAGCTCCTCCCTGAGTGGTGGCGAAACAACGTCGATAACAGAATTTTCCTCAACTGGGAAGAGCTTCGCAGGAGGAAAGCCAAAAATTAACTGTGCGTGGCATCTCAAGAAATGCTGCAGATTTCCGGGTCGTTGCACAAAATGGGTTTTTTTTATTAGTTCGTGATCAGACCTCGGTGACTAATTGTTTGCGGTGTCTTTAGATGATCATTTCATGATTTGATCGGTGTGAATTGCGTGGTTCAGCTCCAAGTCCGCTGCCAAGGACACACTCATTTTGCTTGATCAGGTACCTATTCGTTCCTCCTAATCAATTTTGAGCTTATAGTACTTAACGCTTATGTTCCTATTTCAGACTCCCTCTCGACCGTTTCTGCTTGTTTACAGGCTCTACTTATTATACTTCATCCCAGTTCTGCATGGCCATCTACACTTTGTAGACCGAAATTGATTCATTGTGGTGTAGAGTCCACATGGAGGCAAGCCTTCAATTGGAGTTTTGCTGCATGTTGTGGTAAAGCTGAAAGGATTTACGCGTGACTATCAAACACAGGTATGGAATTATGATGGCCAGTGCTCGGTGGAGGGGCCGTTCTTGACGATCATATACCCAGAGCTTTGATTTAGAATGACAAGTTAACAGCACAATGAGCTATTGCCAGCATTCCCTCTTAGTGGTCACAGAACGTTTAGAAGTGAGAGCATCTTGTATTTCAAACCTGTGACACTCTTTATCTTAACGCCATGGTAGCATTGGAATCAAAAATGTGACGCTCAACTGCTGTGATACACATATACAATCTGTGGGTCCTCAAGCAAGTGCACATTTCCTGGTCTCCCCTCAGACCGGTTTTGAAGTCCAGGTCCACTTTCAGAGCAGAACGTCTTTACCTCAAACTCCTTATTTTTTCTCGCTTTACTGTTGCGATGATTCAGCACACGAAAAAATAAACTTGTAACGTTAATCACCTTTCTTTTCTGAAACGCCGCGTCTAGTCTGAGAAATTGTTCGGGTGCTTGAGCAAAATGTATGGAGAAATGAAGATGCCAAATCTCAAGAACTCTTTTCTAGCCACTCACAAGTCTTGGGTTCAGCGAATGTCTCCTACGCAAGTGAATCCACTTGCCGAAGATTCGTCCATGACTGATCGCCATTATGCTTGGTAAGACCAATCGCTGCCGCCAGTGCGTCTCGAGACAGAACCTGCAATCACATCTGGAACATAGACCATTTCCAAAGAAGACTGACGCTAAACAATTCAAGTGCATTCTAGACTCCAGAGATATGCAGCCAGCCACCCCGTAATGTGCTTAAAAAGTTCCACAGGTTACTAATTTACCGAAATTGAGAGCTCACTTGCTAACCTCTTGTCAGTTTCGGGATTTGCGGATCACGTCATAAACACGGCACGATTATTCTCATTATAGTTTGGCTCGTATTATGTGCTACTGGAGGTGACATGCCGCAATATGCTCTTCGTGCCGTTCAAGGCATGTGGACGAGAGCGTATGAATGAAGCTTGAAATTATGAATCAACAGTGATCCAACCTTGCCAATACCGCGCACTTCTAATAAAACACCGAGTAAAACTGCTCAGGAGTTATAACGTGCCTAACTTCACCGAAATGCAAATAATTGGGAGACTTAAAAAGTTACAAAGTTGCAAATCTGCGTTCAAGTATTCAATCGTCTTAAAACATGCATTGTGAAACGTACTGATTAGGCAAACTTCCCGAGGTGCCAGCGATGGTCAGTACAAACACCATTGCAAAAGATAGATCTCGGATTTCACGAATCATCCCCAGTGATGATTTCATGTATCTTCTTCTGTGAACTTTTTGAGTACATGCAACAAGTTCAATCTCAAAATACATGTGTTATTGATAAAACGTTGTATTTGCAGTATTCATGAGCAATTTCTATGTTGCTTTTTGAATGGGTCGTTAATTTGCTTTTCTTCCATTGCTAGTTGGAACTATCCTTAATGAACCATTCTAATCATGCAATATATAATAATTATTAAATATTTTTAAATTAATTTAAATTTTAAATTTAAAAAAAATATATCCATTGAATTCTTTAAAAATTAAAAAATAATGTCCTATTTACATCTTAAAATTTACCTTCATGTTTCAAAATTTTACAAAAATTGTGGAAATATGTAATATGTATAAACTTGTTTAGTCCTAAATATATATATATATATATATATATATATATATATACATACATACATATATATATAGATATATTTTATCAATATTTTATTTATTTTTTCTTCTTTTAAAAATATTTCTTATACATAATTGATTTTTTTAATAAGAATTAATATCAAACCTTGTTTCTAAGCTAATTTAGAAATATTAATACTTATAAGAATTTTAAAAGAAAATTCTTATATATTAAAAATACTAATATAATGATAATAGATTTAATTTCATTGATTCTTTTAATAGAATTTATATATTATATGTTTTGATTTAAAATATTATTTTTTTATATAATTAAATTTTTATTATAAAATTAGAATTGATAAATATCTTTGCATAAATTTATTTATTTATTTATCCTTAAAATTTTAAATTTATATATCTTTACAAACAAAAATAAAAAATAAAGATAATATTACTAATTAATAATATAATTGAGTTATTATTATTATTATTTTAATCTTTAATGATTCAAACTAATTATATATAAATTTATTATAAAAAGATTTATAAATTGATAAAATCTAAGATCTTTCAAATGAAATAAGAAATAAACTCTAATCTTTGCTCTTATCAAAGGTGATTGATAGATTTCTTTAGTTATCAAAAATGTCCTATTCTAAGGCAAGAAGATCATTTAACTATTGAATAATTATTGAGGTTTTTATAACTACCTCTAATTAATATGTTTTGCATGCCATCAAATATAGTATCCACCTCTAATATTAATATTAAGTATTAATTTTCTCTTCTAAGATCATAGTACCATACACATTGTATCTCACCATTTATTTAAGCAAGAACATGTCTTTTTGAAATATGATTTTAAACCAATAAATAAATACTATGTTTAAACTTAAAATATATTATATAGGAATAATAATTTATAATCTTCAAAGAAATTCAAGTAATAATCAAGTAAAGTGGTATTAAAAATATTAAGTTAAAACCATTTTAGCAATTTAAGAAGTATTTGTAAAGCTTATATCTATGAACTTAAAAGCTACTTAAGTTTATTTAGAAATAAATAAAGGGGTTGTAAATAATATTAATTTTTTTTTAAGTAATATCATTTAGAAATGTAATTAATATCTATTATATTATTTTATATTAATTTGTTATCTAATTCTTCTCAAATTATAGGAAGAATTAGATTTATGGTTGGATGTAGCAATTTGCTTTATAGATTATGTTTTAAGAAGATAATTGTGCATAATAAAAGATCTAATTGACAAAATAGAGATATATTATAAATCCTATTATGGTTAAGGAGTATTTGACCTATCAACCAAATGATTAATATTTATCACTTGTGAATTTAGAACCCAATTAGAAATAGCCTTAGAAGAATTTGGTCAAAATAAAAAAATCTAGAAAATGTACTAGAAAGCACAAAAGACATAAGAAAAATGAACTAAGACCAAATATTCTTGTAGCATATGGAATTCATTATCTATATTATATGATACATATGTATTTTTTTTAATCCATATTTTTATTATAAATCCAAATACAAATCTATATAAAAATCTACAAGCTAATGCGAATTTACAGTGTACCAAGTAATATGAGACTTTCTTTAGCTCCAAATTTGCTTGAAAAAGTGACAATAGAAAAAAAGTGGTGTCAAAAGAAGAAGAGGTAGAACTCCTAAGATATCTAAATTCACTCAAGGTAGAAGAATTTGACCATTTCTTATTAAAAGTGGAAATTGGTGGATCTATATTGATTTACAATAATGAAGAAGATGTAGCTTTTATTTACAAAGCCACTTTAGGCTTAAAGAGACTTGATAGAGTGATAGACATAACTGAAATTGATGACTTTCTGATTAAATTTGAAACATGATGTAATAGTTAAGTTATAAGAAGATCAAGGTTTAATTCCTACAATATATAGTAGACACTCTTCTAATACTTAGAAGGTGCTTTCATATACAACTATTTAAAATTTAAGACCAAAGAATAAAGTTGAAATTGAAGAATTCAAAAATTATTGGATAATGGATTTTAAGAATTTATTTGGAAAACAAGTGTAGAAATAAGGATGCAAAGTTGGTAGTAATAGTCACACAAGTGAAGATTGATGGTGGATTCAAGGCAATTAACAAAAACTTAAATTTTATCTTATTATAAAAATATTTAAGGTACTTCAATTAAATTACTAAAGCCAATATTTTGAAAATTTTTTAGGATTCTATTAGTTTTGATTAATAATAATAAAAACAAATACCTTGATGTTTTTTACTACCTATGAAATTTGGTAGAAAGAATTAAATGAATAGCTATTTTTTTAAGCTATCTTTTATTAATATATTATTCTAGACTTACATCTAAAAGAATTGATTAGAGCTAAAGTATTGAATTTATCTTCTAATAATCCTTCTACTTTAGAATATGTGTTTTTGCCCAAAAGTTCTATTTCAATTAATTTGGCAAAGAAAAAATTGATAATATCTATGATAAAAAAAGTTCTAAAATCTATAAAAAAAAAGAAGAAAAGAGGATAAGTTTCTTCTTATCAAAAGCCCCATACTAACATATTATAGGCAAGAAGATACATATAAAATAAAGTCCAAGCCACTTAGGAAAAATATTATTTATGGTAGAAATCTTCTATTCTTCGTATAGCTATTTATGGCAAGAAGATAGATAGCTAAAAATATAGAAATAAAGATCATTCTTATTTAAAGATAATTGAAGCTTAATTGGCATTGATTATAGCTTCATTTAAAACCAATGACATTTTGACTATAAAAAAAAGAAGAATTCCATTATTTTATTGAAAATAAGATGATTTTTTATGAAATATGATTTTATGGAAAATAAAGTTTTTATTGTAAGAATCACCATTTATAAGACATCTTTATTTTTTCTTTAAATGATTGAATCACTTGAATTTAATATAACTAAAGTATTAGAGATTGCAACTTTATATAAGACTAAAGAAAATTGACCTATAGCAGCAATGAAAATAGTGGCATTTGATAAATGTGACTTTGCAAATGAGTCATTAGAAGGAGTTAGTCTTTATGCTTTAGCAACTTAAATTCAAACCATACCACAAAGATCAACAATTAAATATTAAAATATTAAAATATTTAATATTTGTTGTAAATTGTAGGACCTAGAGATAAGATTTTCATACTAATATGATAAAGTTGCATTTAATATTTTAGATTTGCACAAAGATACATTAGATTTTTTTTATTTTTTTTATTTTTTATTATCAACACATTTTTAGATAGGTCAAAGAAGGCCATTGGAATTATAATTCAATTATTTTTGATTAAATTGCAACTTAACAATGTTATGGAAGAATAAGCAATTAAAATTAAGCTTCTACAAAACCTAGTTATAAAAAATATTATTTAACTAAAGTCCATAATATAATGTTAATATAGAAATTTAAAGAATTATTACTTTAACAAGCCAAAGATACATTTTCAAAGATATGGAAATATCAATCCTTACAACTTAGAAATTGGAGGCCATCATAATATTTTAAAAATCTTATTTAGTAATAACAACATCAATTATATGGCAACTTCACAAGCAAGGTATTTATTTATTAAATTTATTTGGTGGTATTAGTAATCTCTTAAGCAAATTCTTATAGTTATTTTTAAATCTCAATAATAATTAATTTAATTATTTATTTCAATTAAAAATATTTGCACATTTCAATCTTTAAGCAAAAAACAAGCATACAAAGTTTGAGATGAAATCTAACTTACCAAATAAAAGAAAGAGCTCATAATACTCACAAATATTGGCTATCTTCCTTCTTTAACCTTAATGTTGATCTTCATGAAAAATCACTCCTTATTGAATAGTTCAATTATTCTTTGAATTGATAAAAATATAAATATATAAGTACAAAATGATTTCACAATTTTTTTCTTCAATTGAACTAATAGATTTTTGAAGATCATAGAAAATCTTAGTGATCCTAAAATTCAAATATTTGAGACTCTAATTTAATAAAAACTTCCAAATCTTTTAATTAAATTAAAATTTATAAAATATAATTAAGAAATACAATAAAAAATTCACAAAATTTTACTTATAAATTTTCTATAATATCCAAAAATTCCTCAAATATATAAGCATCTTTTAATTTCTCAAAATCCAAAATCTTTGAATACATTTTTTACTTTGGAAAGCTCTCAAAAGTTCAATATGCATCCAAATCACTTGAAACCAATGTTAAAACAAAATTTTTGAATTTTATTCTCAAATTCTTCTCTTCAATCAGCAAAAGAATCTCAAATTACCATAAGTATGCAGTTCTTTGCATTGAGGTTTGATTTCGACTATGCTTCACAACTAGTCTTTTTTGGATATCAATTCTTGCTTTCTTAAGGTAATTTTTGCTACAAACAACTCTTAATTTTTTATAAAGATGCCCACATTATTTATTTTTCTAATTTACTTTATTTTTCCTTATTTATGATTATACAAAGTAAATATAAGTTTTTTTTTGAAAAAGATATTATTAACACCAAAAGTTTTTACTACCTTCTTATCTATTATCTATATTTTTCTACTATATCTTTGAAATAGGCACTTCTATAATAAAACCTAGATTTTTATCTTTTACCATATAGTTGTGTTACAACATGAGAATATTTATAATAGTTATTATATTCATTGGTTGTATATCTTGAATAAATTGTAGTGATCTATTTTTTTTTTAAGCACTAAAAATCAACCACTAGATTGTGGAGAAAAAAAAGGCTTTAAAATCTTTATTTTGATCTTTTCTTTTAATATGCCTATAAATTTAGACAAGTATACCATTGGCACTAGAATTAGCCTTAAGTTACAAAGCACATGTGGTATAATAAAGATAATTATAAGAGCTAGAATACTAGAATTCACACATCTTCATGAGGTTGAAAAAAAATGATATACTTGATTTTGTAAGTATCTTTTTGAAATATTTAATTTCTTTTTTAAACTCTTATTTCTTGATGCTTCTTCCACCTATTCTAAAAACTTTTCTAGCAAAGGTTTGGCAAATATTTTATATTCTTATTTATTATCTTATATTTTATTTTGATAATAAATTCTAATGGTTAAAGAGATTTAAACACATAATAAATATCCCTTGAATAAATTTATACAACATTTTTACCATTTTTTAATTAAATTAATGCAATCAATTCTAATAAATTTTCTAATCTATTTTCTTCATAAATACAAAAAATCTTTATATCATCTTCTTATGTTTCTAATTCTTGTAATATTAAAAAATATATAAAAGTATATTTAAATTTTCAACTTTCTTAAACATAATACTTTTATTTTTAAAAATACTAAGAAAGCTTGTATTAAAGGCACATATATCTTAAAAGAATATATTCTCTTTTTTACCTCTAATATCTTGTTTTATAATGGTACTTTTATAAAATCCTTAAATTCTTCAGCAATTCTTGGTAATGGATTCTCTTTTAACCTATTTTGATTTTTCTCAAAATTGAGAGGCATAATTCAAAATTATATTGCATTTTTTCCATCATCATTGTGTATCCATGTACAAGCTAAACCATTATCAAATAATTTTGTCTCCATTTGTATTGACGTAATATATAATTGCTCCAAAATAATTAGATAAGATGTTGTAATTTAGAAAAATATTATTTATTTATTTATTTATTTTTATTGAAATATCACTAATTCAAATTTTAACATCTAAACAAGGACTATACAACTCACCTTGTATATTATTACTTATTCATATTGTATATCCACACTCTATATCAATTGGCTACCTTAGCCTTTTATAAGATTTCTACATCTAAGATTTATCTCAAAACTATGGCCAACTAAAGCAACAATTGGTTCTTCTATTTTTTCAACCTTCACTAATACTTTTGTAGTTGCAATATCTCAATGTTTCTAAGTATAATGACTTAAGCCTCTATCTCTTTGATTATGATTCTCCCTTCATTTATTAATTGCTTACATTAATTACTAAATTCTTTTTCATTTTTGTATATGCTTATATCAATAATATGATTTAATCTAACTACATCCATTAATTGCCTCTTCTAGTTAACACTATCAATAATAATATTATAAAATTCTATCTTTGCAATTTCTAGAGTCTCTTCTAATATGAATTCAATCTTAGTATTAAGTATATAGTTTTCAATCACATCTTTTAAATTTGTGGTTGCTTCAGTATTAGAGAGTATTTTATAAGGTATTGATTTTTTTTTTTTTTTTTTTTTTTTTTTTTTTAAACCTCCTTCTTTTTTTAAAAAAATTTGTTTTCTTTCTCCTCTAATTTTATTACAGCATCTTTTGTGAGTAATTATTAGAGATTATCTTGTTTTATTTAAGAAAAAAACATAACCAAATAAAATCTGATATCAAAAAATTAAAATTTAAGCACATAAAGCATAAAATATATATCATACTTGAATTATGACAATATCAATTCTTTGCTCTCTCTCTCTCTTTCTATATATATATATATATATATAATTATAATTAAAAAAAATTATAAAAATTTATACCAAATTACATCATGTTTAATAAAATTTGTATAAAATACAAAAGTTATATTATGTCACTTATAATACCAATAAAATACAAAAGTTATATTATGTCACTTATAATACCAATCAATATTGCTAAAGTTTAATTTAAAAAATATTTCCTTTAATTGCAAAATATACTTTTTTTTTTTTTTTTTTTTTTTTTTTTTACCTTTTATGTTATTTAAAAAACATTTGTCTTATACTAAACTAAAATTAAAAAAAAGAAAACAACTTTACAAATTCCATAACTTTGAACTCATCGTTAATACCTAATTTAATATTCTCCTAAAATTATAGTCCATCTTCCTCTTCTCCCACTAACTTGATTTGTTTTCACGTAAATTCTACATTATTGTATTTCTCATTGGCTTCTCTATTCTTTTAAAAAAAAATAATAATAAAAATAAATTCTAATCTACTCACCTAGTAAGGAGAGTTGATGTTCAGCATGTTGGATGGAAAAGTGGCTCATGGATGGATGGATGGATAGATGGCTTGATCCATTTCTACTTTTCCCAGACATTAACACTGCATGTTGTCATCGTATTTAAATTCAGTGCGAAATTCATCCCACATTGTTTAAACGAAACCAGGCACAACCTCATCGATACATCGTGTCGTGATTGCAGGATTGGATTTCTGAGAAGAGATTCGCTGGTGATCCTCTTTGTTGGCAAGGTGATTCTCAGGCCGGCTGCTGTGGATCGGAAGCATGTGCGCGATGCACACAAGAAGGGTTTGTTGAGTGGTTCCAGATCCGCTGCTAGTTGCACAATTTTGTTTACAGTGCATCGGTGATGATAAGGAGTGTAACTTGGTGTCACAGTGATCGAGTCAGAGAATGTTTTCACTCCTTGATTTCACGGGATGGGAATAGAGACTGAAACCTGTTTCATGTGATGTGCCAATCTCACAATTCTACATGACGTAGTTAAGTGAGGAAAGTAGTTAGTTAGGGTGTATTTTGAGAAAGAGATGGAATGCGTTGTGTTTTGAAGAGTTTTATTTTATTTTATTTTATTTTTTCATTTCCTACCTGCGGAGCCTCTTCGACTTCAGTGGTGGGATCCGTGATAGCTGTCATTAATTCAGACGAAACCCTAATCCTGCCCACCCAACCCTCTCCCCACTTGTTGACAAGCCACACAGACTTCACTGTCGTGAATCATTACTGGATGCTCAGTAATGTAATCTCCTAAGTCACCAGCAGAAAGGCAAAACGGTCAGTTGAAAGTGCTTACAGTAGCAGGCATCCAGCCACAGATGTGTTGTGTTGAGCTTAACAATTGGCTCGACCACAATATAGTTTGGACCACCCACCTGAAAGGTGATATTTGAAAAGAGATAATTAATTGTCACCGCCAGTGTCAAACATCATTCCTGTTCTTCCAGTTTCAGGAATCGCCGGGTATTCACTTAAATTTTTTATTTCTGCTCTAAGACCTCCGCTATAATCAGAGGGGTTCTGCTTCATATTTAATCAGATGTCTAAAAATTAGGGCAAAACCTGTTTTATCACACCACATCGACAAAGAGAAATGAGAGAAGTGTACAAGATGCTGCGAAAAAAGATTGACGGATGGACGCCGACTTTTTGCGCGATCGACCTGACCCCTCGCCCGTCAGGAGGGGGAGGTCAAGAGTTGGTCAGGTTCTTCTCTCCCATTCGTTGCAATCAGTCTCATTTACGACGTTTTTCCGAAATTTTCTTCTGCATAACCACCCTACCAATTGCACTGAAATTTGAGGCAAACTTGACAGCCTATGACAACAGCACGTCGTAGAAAATGAACTTGTCAAGGATTTTGCGTTGGTAATAGCTGCTGTCCATATCTGTCCCCTTAAAGTAGGCAATAAAATTACACGTATACGGCGATGAGCGACGAGGTACAAGCAAACTTTGAGGTTGTTGTGAGGAAGTGATTGCGATAGACTTAAGGTGGGGACGTGTATGCACAGCGGTCCCAAGATACAAAAACAGAGCCCAGAGACGGTTTAGCTGCCATGGCTATTCAAGGTGGTGAGAGCGGTGGGAATGGTGACCCCGTCTGCCGTGTTCAAAGAGTAGTGAGTCATTCCATCAGCCTCTCCCCTGCCGAGAGAGAGGGACAGTACGCACAGAATCCTGGAGAGCTTGCAGTCGGAAATTTGGTGGAGCTCAAAACAGAATTTGATCGCGTCAAGAAATCGTTTATAACTCTCCCGGACCAGGTGGCATAGCTCCCGAAAATGAATCCCTGCGGTAAGGACTTGATTCTCTAATTCTGCAACCTTGTAAGAATTGAACACAGTAAATCTCATCAGTGACAGAATAACTCTAATCTTCTCTTCGCATGCAGGTGTTTATGCAAACCATAACGTGCGACTTGCAAAAATTAACGTCTATGGGTTCGATTACGATTACACGTTGGCACATTATACTCCTGCATTGCAGTGCATCATATACGATCTCGCGAGGAATCACCTTGTGGAGGAGGTGAGCTCGTGATGCAAATCTCCTTTGCAGAGACTGTACATTGCATATATTATCTAATAAGCAAGTCAGTCGATTCTGCTAACTGAAGCTTTAATAGGAAGATTCATGGATGTATGTCAAACAGCACAGGTACCCGGATTCCTGCTTAAATTTCCAGTATGATGCTAGTTTCCCCATCCGAGGTCTATACTATGACAAGAAAATGGGGTACCTGCTCAAGTTAGACCTCTTCAACTCGGTCCAGCCCGGTGGGTGCTTCTTCGGCCGGCGCAGGGTAATGCTTAAACCATCTCAGCATTTGAAAAATAGAATTTGTCCTACGCTTGTTTTTAGTACATTCCCTGTGAAATCAATTCATTCTTACAAATACAATCAATTAATACCGTTTGCAGCTTGACGAGGATGAGTTGGAGTCTTGTTATCCTGGGAAGCACGTGAGTGCGGAACATATACGCAACCTTGTACCTCTTATGGATCTCTTCTGCCTCAGTGAGGTATAAAACTCAACTCGCATACTCCTACAAGTAGCGTCCTGTTCTTGCTATGCGTTGGGATGTTTATACAATTGGACTGAATGTGAAGCCTGCGATGCGGAGAACGCAGGTATGCCTGCTAGCAGATGTTATCCAACACTTCGTAAACCAGAAGCTACGCTTCGACTGCACCTACGTGTACGAAGACGTCCAGAAATGCATCAAATACATCCACACGAGTGGAAACCTGCACCGTGAAATCTTGAGCAATCCAGCCAAGTACCTGCAAAAAAATGTGTGCTCAAGTCTCATCATCTGTATTGTAGCATCTGCAACTCCTCAGTTATACACACATACTATGAGGCTTTATAAACTCCAATCTCGACCAAAGTTTCTTTGAATGTCTAGTCTTTGCTTCACTTCTTCAATCCTTGTAAGGTTTGTTAATCTGCAGCCAAAATTGATAGAGATGCTTCATACGTTGAAAGAAAGAGGAAAGAAGATGTTCATATTGACCAATTCGCCCTTCCCTTTTGTCGACAGTGGTATGAAGTTCCTCTTTCAGGTAATCTGCTTAGGAATATGTTTCCTTTAGAGGACATCTGTTGCCTTGGAATAGCGTAAATGATCAGAAGAGCCACGAAAGGTGAAAATATTATCGTGGCTTGAAACAGGAAACAGGGCAGGCACAAAACTGGAGGGACCTGTTTGAGGTGGTGATTGCTCTTTCAGATAAACCGAACTTCTACCATTCCCAAAGACCTTTCAGGTTTTCCTTCACTTAGAAAAGTCGTACTTTGCTGATTCTGTGCTCTTGTGACGACGCTTGTAGCAAGGAAAAGGCACCTGCACAATCACATGATTTGAAGTATTACCCATGAAGTACCTCGCAATTGGCTTCGCAGTCAGGTGTAAAATTAGATATTTGCATGACTGTTCCAGAGCTTATCATCATAAAAAAGATGTCCTGTTGTTCACAAAAGTGGAATCCTTCGAGCCACACGGTGTGTACTATCATGGCTGTCTCAAAGACTTTGCAGAGATTACTAAATGGAAGGGGTCTGAGGTAAGTACTTGATTCTTCGAGAATCTCTCATTGGACCATCCAACATGGTCCCCATAACTATAACACAGTCAAATATGTGCCCCAAACATCCTCAGCTTTGATGCATCATACCTGTCAGTTTCTGTTTCTCATTTAAATGTCCACTTGCATCTGCTACTAGGTGTAAGCCAATCTCCTCTCATTCTAATCTAATGGGAGTCTGTGCAGGTGCTCTATTTTGGGGATCATTTGTTCAGCGATCTGAGAGGTCCTGCACAAGCCGGATGGCATACCGCTGCTGTTATTCGGGAGCTTGAGGTACCCAGTACTTGATCTCTGCTATCCAAGGTTGAGAAACTAAGTAAATTGCAAGCTCATGTGCAGGCACTAGCATTATCAAAAACAGGAGGGTAATTGCAAGCACTTAGAACTCATTTAAGTTTCTTTCGTGAAACAGAGAGAAATTTCAACACAGAATGAGACTGAGTACCGATTTCAGCAGGTAGGTTGGTCCTTACATCGCCACTCTATTACCATCTGAGCCTGCAGTCTTTAGCAACATAAAACCTGCAGAGGTACTTCACCTATTCACACGGCGAAGTGCTTGTAGGCAAGATACAACAAGTTGAAAGAAGTGTTGGGAAAGTTTCATGGACGATCCGCTGCCATTACAAAGGAAGAGAACAACATCTTAGGGGAGTTGAGGGAGCTTCGTAGCAAATCAAGACAAGCTATGAAGGAGATGTTCAACACAAATTTTGGGTCCACGTTCTTGACAGACACCGGCAAGGAATCTGCGTTTGCATACAATGTACAGAGGTATGCAGATATCTATACGAGCAGGCTGGAGAATTTTCTGTTCATCTCAAGTGATGCGTGGCTCTTCAGTCCTCTGAATGTGAAGATATTGCCTCACCACATCAAGGTAATACTTTCTCCCTAATGTATGACTCTTTCTATAAATGGTGCGAAAAAATCGGTTAATATCGATCTTCTCTTATTAAATTCCTGCATTACATGATACAGGTATTTCCTGCCGAAAAGGAAGGAGGCCAATTAACAATACAGTGACTACAGACTTCTCGTGAAGTCAAGCACTCAAGGACCCTAACAACCCTCAATGTTTATATTGAAATATAATGTATTTGCAAAGAAGCCCAGCACCACTTCATGTTTTTGAAGTATGAAATCTATCTGCGCTGATTTAACAATGAAACAGAAGATCAACTAAAAACTTGATTAATTAGTCCGAATAGAAATACGTTCAGATCAAAGACATTAACTCATCAATACCAAATTTGAAGCGAAGAAAGTTCAACTAACACGAGATAACCACAACTACAGAGTTGAGTGTATGCGTACACGCTTCGACATACAGAATGGTCCTCATCCATGACCATCAACGAATCTCAAAAAGTAAGGGCAATTACTTTCTACAATCAAAATTATTAAAACGTCGTGATTTTAGCCAAAAGACTTCACTAATTTAATATATATATATATATATATATATTAGGATAATCCATGTATTAACGAAAGGTTAAAAGGTTGTCATTACAAGCTTAAACAGGTTATGTTCATTGACTTACATTAAACCAATCAAATCAGGCTTAAAAGAAACCTCCACAGTGAAGATAGAAAACTTTCATAATGCAAAAACGTCAGTAGCCTATGAATTGTAAGAAACGCTCGGTAAAACAATACATTGAACTACATCACATCACGTCACAAACCTACAAGATGTGCTAAGTGACAGATGAAGAATGTAGGACAGAGATGACTGATAGAAGAGAAAGCGAGCCCTTCACTTCCAATCTCATTCAATACTCTGTAAAGCTAGTGTTAAGTCTTTTATTCGGTGGAGAATGAGTGGCATCACTCGAAATCGTCAGTCACCCTGAATTCCTAGGTTTGCCAGTCATGCCCTCGACAACCTGGTATACGAGAGACATAAGAAAGAATGTGAGTGTATGAAAGCACCAAATATACAGTACTGATGTTAGGGTACTCATATAGACACATTTTGCAGCCTAAAAAGAAATATTCGCTGAGACGTCGTTTCTATGCACCTCATCCTTCTATTCCAACGACTTACTCGCTAAGATTGAATTTGAGAGTAGTAAAATAGAAGCTTATGCCAAGGATCAATTACAAATAACATACATCTGCTAGCTTGGGTGGCGGAACCACTTCGGGCCGGTTCATAGCATTCCTAATGGGAGGAACAATCAAAGGTGCCCCGATCCCTGCGAAAAATTGAAAATAATTTAAGGTTAGAAAACACAGCCAACTATCACAGCATTCATGTCAACTCTTGGTCCATAAAACTTGTCATAATTTTTACTTGAACGAGCCAATAGAGCATTCAGTAAACAAGTCCCTTATCAGCCTAGATCCTTCATCAAACGCTCAGAAGAGTATTCATCTTTATCCTCAATATTCTCTACTTGCACTGATGCAGATATTTCGATTTCAGTGAGCTAACACTGTTTGACCTCTCGCTTCTTCAACCTCGAAAAAATCTGGAAACGAAATATTTCAATCCTCAGTTATTTTCACGCCCTCTACACCAAAGACTCTAACCCTAAATATTTGGCATCCAGGTTAGAATGACCTGATTACATAATCAAGTTTATCAGCTCATGGCAAGCACAAGCACTTGACTTCAAAGTTGAAACCACCTGTTGCAGCGCTAAGATTCGGGCCCCCTGTTCCACATCATAAACCCTAAACATGCAAACGCTGTCCGCATCGTACACTACTACTACCGCAGCAACGCACATTCGCAACCGAAACTATCTTCGCCTCCTTTGTTCTTCGAAACCAAACCTGAACCTCGCGAACTGAACCTCTACGAACACAATGCACAATTAGGTTGAAATTCAAATCAACCTCGAAGAAACGCGATTCGGAACAAGAGGATGAAGATCTAAGTCTATGGGTTACCAATGGCAGAGAGCACAGCGCAGGCAGTCAGGACAGGGTCCTGCGCCATCATCCTTCGCAACGCAGCAGAAGCGCCCATATCGATCAAGCTCAATTTCAGACCTCTGCAACTATGGTCTAAACTTCCGAGAATCAGTGTTCCAGAGCCACCCCGCCCCCAAATACCACGAGGCTCTAGCAAACGGCAACGATGGATGACGGTAGATGAATGCGGGTATTCATTCATGGGTATTGTCATTTTGGGCTTTCATAAACTCTGCTCAGTCGAAGCCCTTTTTCAAATTGGTCGTTTCGAAGGTGACGCAAAATTAGTCGTTCACGCATTACACCACTACACCAACAGACACAATTTTACAGGTTCTTTCACGCACAGTGTTAAACAACGAATAAAGTAAAAACAGGAGACAAGGAAACGAGTAGGACTTTTTCCAACACCAGACTTTCCTTCTGTCTCAGACAAACTTGAAGTCATCCGCAGACTGTAAATTTTTAGCTCTTGTTCAATGTTTGCATAGCCACTAGAAAACCATGCCACACGATGTTTTATCTCGAATTGACATATTAGTATGTAAGCAATTTCCAATGCGAAACATTCACAAAAATTACTATTATTATTATTTTTTTTATTTTGCAGACTTTGCGGACGGTGTAAAAATGTTGAACATCGGAGAGATCCACCAACAAAATTCATCACCAACTGTGAATGACAGGTTGTGAGAAAGTTCGCGCCACCAACCAGTCTCAGATATCACCAGCTGCTTGTTAAAAGCTCCTTCGAGCTCATGTACCCTCACGAACTCTGAATTCAAAATTCTCAAGTTGAAAACCCCAAAATAGCAGAATCACTATTTATTTTCGAGTATTGTTATCTCGTGGTTCTCTGAACGTAGCGAAACCCATGAGGATGGGACCCAGCGGGCCACACGCCCCATCATAATGTAATCTCGAATTCCTCCTACTTTTGGCTCATGGTAGAGATTCAAAAAAATGATGAAAAGTCGTAGATACGTATTCATCGAAGGTGTTGAAGAAAGCACGAGATTGTGGGAGTTCAATTCAGCCGAGCTGTGGTAGTGTGGGGTGAAGGAACGTTGAAGTCCTGTTTCAGACAAGCATATAGACCTCACGCTCATTGCTGAGCTAGCAACGAAGACTGCCAAAGGCTACACGGTCGCGTGATCATCTCGTCCCGGTGCGCCTGGTCTTCCCTAACGCATTGGTGTTGATTTTCAAGCAGAATACGCTGCTTTCTTGCGTTTCTAGGGACTGCATTCTCGTTCCGGTAGCCTTGTCTGCTTGCGCCCTTACCTTGGATCTCGTGCGCGCGGAGAGAGAGCTAGAGCCTGGAGTCGCGTGGTTAGTCGTGCCAGATGCTGGATAGATTGAGCATTCGTGGTCTTCGTTGAGTTTTGGTGAAGATTTTTGGGGTGTGCGATTTGAGTTTTGAAAGTCTTGTGGAGCGAGTTTCATGTGAGTTGTGTTAAGACGATCTCGTGTGTTTATTTTTATTTTTTATTTTTTTTCTCCTTGTGTTTGTTTTTAGTTCATTCGGGAGGTGAAGGTTTCATTTTCTAACTTTTAAAAATTAAAAATTTTGTTTCTTTTTTGGGTTGTGTTTATAAATTTTAAAATGCTGATTCTGCTTGTCGTGTATTCTAGGTCCGACTTGTGTTTGTATCTTCATGGCTTGTGGCAGAGAGGTTGTGAGGGTGCTGGATCGGAGTTTGGCACTGAAATTGTACAGAACTTACCATGATCCTACGTTTAATGTGACGAGAGAGTGTCAATAAGTTTTCCCTCTTCGGAAGCCGCATGTTCTTTGGTCCGCCCGTCTGTCCATTAAACCCAAGCTCTTTGCTAACCTGGATATGTTTTGGTGTTGCACCTACGCATGGTACGTTCTAAATGTATTGCAAACAGATTTCGAGCCGCAGTGACTGTCGGGATCTGACCTACCGACTATTTGCGAAGGTGTACTATTGGTCTACGATAGAAGCTAGGAAGAGTTGTAGGGTTGAGCCAAAGGGACAGAAGAGTTTGCATCGAGCAAGATGGCGAACTGGTACCTGCAAGGTACCTGGAATCATGGCCAAGTTGCATTCATTGCAACTATCGGCGCGTTTTGCTTCATCATCCTTGCTGTAAGTCTGCCACTTGATCTAGTCGTGCTTTGAATGGATCTGATTCAATTTCTTTGTACGTACATCATGAAGACCTAAGAAACTGTCGCCCTTTCGTTGGAATCATCGACTCTGTAACCTCTCCAGGGTTAGGAATTCGGAATTATTTTCTCATTTTCATTCGAAAGATAGGAATGTGTACACAAGAAGAATCTCTCTTTCCTCTTTGAGTTCTTCCACAAAATGCTCCAACCTATGATTTCCTTAGTAGCAAAGTTGGGGCGTCGCGATTATGTCTATGAGTGGTTCTGACGGTTGGCAGACCATTTGTAAGTGATAGTTTGGTTCTAATGCTTCGAGAGTAGTTTTGTGCCTTGGATCACAAGACTTTGAGTTACTCGCCTTTTATGGGCTTATCTTGGGGAAAATTCGAGTAGAGGATTTTACCTTCTTGCAGTTATATGCACTCCTCAAGTGCTTTGTAGACACTGGATAACTTGAGGGATCAGCATTTTTCAAAGACAGGAAGGAAGCTTAACAATATTGTTGGCTGCTTACTCAGTAATAGTCTCTGTCATTATGCAGTTGTGGAGGACACCAGTGCTTTTGCCTTTTAAACTAATTACGGTCTTTCTTCACGAGGCAAGCCATGCCACAGCATGCAAGCTCACGTGTGGTAAGGTATGTTATATAAAATTCGCCTTTCCGCTTCGTGGCTATTATATTGCTCTCTTCACATGTACGTATTTGTAATACATGTTTCTTACCTGGTGTGAAGTCGCATCTTGTTCTAGTTTCGAATATTTCTGGCCTTGTGGAAGCGTTAATCCAAGGTGAATTAGTTTGGTGGTAATTCGTTAGGATCCAGATTAGTATTTCTCTTAAATGATCTTATTCATGACCTCGTATTTGCAACTTGTGATCTTTACATGAGATGAAATCTGGTGTGGACAGGTTGAGGGCATGGAAGTCAATGTGAATGAAGGAGGTGTTACACACACACGGGGTGGCAAGCAATGGTTTATTTTGCCCGCTGGCTGTAGGTCACGAAGCCTTTTAATATCTATTTCACGAATTGCTGAAAAATGTGGAATTGTCCAAACCTCAAAATTATCGTGACCAGTTGAAATGAATCCTTTTTACAGAATCTTTAAACATTTTTTCTCGAAAGTGATAGGAGCGTTTTGGAAACCCTCTATTTTAGGACAATATAGATAGGCACAACTGTTTATGACATCTGGTTTTATATAAAATGTCTAGTTGCAGCATGAACTAGACATGTGCAGCCGTTGGTGATTAGTAACATCAGGGAACGTATTTGCATCTGTATGGTACATGGATCTGAATTCCATTAGATTAGTGTGTAAGTTACACATTACTACGGCCTACTAGTGCTGCAGCAATAGGGAGGTGGTCGTAAGGAACGTTGTTACCTTGAAATGTTTTTAAGTTGCCGCGTGGGACTTGGTTACATGGACGCAGATCTCGGATCGTCTTTCTGGGGTATGGTGTTGGTGGTCGCTTCAACAAATTATTTGACACTGCGCATCGCAGCTGGTCTTCTCTGCGCTGCTCTTGTTGTTGTCTTGGTGATCGCAAAGAATGTGAGTTCATCACCCTAATTATAGTTCGTGTGTATGTTATTACACCTCCCAGTTGCAATGATTCCTGCTGGCGATATTTCTATTCAATCTGAACCTCTTCTTTATCACCATTAGTGTCATAGTCACCTTTAGATAACTGTTAGGTTTCTCTCAGTACCTTCGGTATGTGTCGCAGAGGCATGGTATAGCTTGAGCATCACCTGACGATATTTCCTTCTTGTGATTGTTCGTGAACCCCAATTGCAGTGGTTTCTCCGCTTCTTATGTCTTGGTGAGCATTACTCCTCTTTCTAGTTGCAAATACAAGCTCTTGACACTGCAAATATATCTGTAGATTCGCGGTACAATTTCCGCGGCCTACTTGTTGGAGGTTGTGTGCTTGATTATTGACTAATATTTCAGGTTTGTATAGTCATATTTCATAATTCATACTTGCAGTTTCAGCACTTTCATGGATCCTAAAAGTCTTATCTGTGCCACTATGACAGGGTTTTTGGCCTTTTTGATATTGATCTGGGTGTTACAAGAGCTCACTATCATCAAAATCCTCCGCTATGTGATTCTTTTCATGGGTATGCTAATTGCCTCTTCGTTTGATCGTGAATCACAGTATGTACATGTTATTTAGTACCCTTCATTTCAGGATTTTTAAAATTCTGATATCTCCCTTGACTATTTTGGCAGCTGTTGGTTGATATTATGCTGTGCCTGCTTCTTCACTTTTTGTGCACAATAATTGTGTTTTTTTCTTTTCTATCCAGCTTGATTCTCTTCGTCTTTGCAACAAATATTGTTCTTGCAGTGTGTAACACATAGCGGTGTCCAAGTACATATACAAGAAAATGCTACGTTCTTCATTTGGGTGGATATTGTATCAAGGGAGTTACGGGATCTCGATGTGCAGTTTTCATTAGCAACGTGGTGAACTGCAAGTAATCTGGAAATATTAATGTATATCTTTGTTGTCTGCAGGTGTTATGAACGGGCTCTTCTCTATTTATGGTAAGAATCAAGTTTCAAGTTCACTTCCCATCGCAAGTTGAATTAGCAGTGGGGCTGAGTCCCCTGTTCTTTTCTACGTGGTAATCCTCAATTGTCTTGAATGAGGGCATCCGTAGCAAGGTATATGTTTGGATGTGGGATGTCCTGCGAGGGTTGCTCTTTCGAAGTGAGCCACCTCAATTTGCAGATTAAAGTTATGATAGTTCCTTGTCATTTTTTATGGTTACGGTGGTGCTGAAAGCTGCTGGTGGTTTGGTGTTAACGCTCCAGATATTTACGATGACCTCATTTCAAGACGAGTGAATTCAAGTGATGCGGAGAAGTTTGCTCAACTTTGCCCTTGCCCATGCAACGGTGTGGCATGGGGTGTCATTTGGTCAGTGATCTTCCATGCAATTTCCCTTCTCTTTGTTAGCATTTTTCTCCTATCTATCTCCCTTTGTTTGAACCTTCTGGTGAAACGGACAAGCGTAGGTCGTTACGTACAAAACCTCCGCTTGATGCCGGTCTCTTTATCGATTGCTGTATACTTGCGCGTGCTCAAATGTTCATATGTCAGAGCTAAGGTCATGTTGATTGCAAATGTAATACTAAACTACTTCGAGAGATGATAGTTCTCTACATCAGAGGTTACACAATCACATACATATTGTCTCTTCAAGTTTTAGAATCGGATAATGATGCGAGGCTTTGTTGTTACATGTGCAGGGGATTCTTCTCTCTCATCTTCCTTCTCGCTGCAGTATATCTCGGCCTAGTGAACCTTTCTTCTTAGTGAAGGACGTCGCTCTCTATGCACATTCATTCAGTGTAATTTTCTACTAGGTTAAACATTTGAGGAGTTGTTAAGTTTTTTTCTTTTTCTTTTTCTTTTTCTTTCATTTCTTTCTTTTACTTTTTCCCACGCGTGGCTGCAATTAATGATCGTGAACAGATTAGCCCTCTGTACTTTTGCTAAATGTTGCCTCTGACTGCAGTACACCAATATTTGACTCTTGACATAGATTGGTCTGCTGTAACTGGGATTGATTCAAATAGGTTTACTGTTGGAATTTGGAAGTAGCGGAGATGCAGCTCTTCAGGTGGAGAGAGAAATTGCAGTCAAGGGTGGTGCTCCACAACACCCTTAAGCGGAACTTCCCTACTGTAGCACATTCTAAGTTGTTTTAATGCTCTGGGAACGCTTGACCACGGAACTGTAATGTGATCACACGTGCCAACTCTTCCCCAGCATTTGTAGACGACAAGAAAAAACGATTCTGCGTGTGTTGTTCTACGGATTCACTGACATGTACTCTGTCTAAATGAGATTCGGTCGTGAAATCGGATTCACTTTGATTATTGCGAAACATAATTGTGACTTCTGTTCCATGTATTTCCTATGGATGAAATTTGATCCATAATACTGGAAGTCTGAACATATCAGTGCAATTATAAAATAGCAGAAGTAGAAACAGTTACTGTTGTTAGCCAAAATGATCGCGGAGGAGAGAACAGGTTTATCTGCTACGCTAGAAATCTGTACTACGCTATTATCCTACGTATGCTCAACTTCGCCCTTCAAAACGGACATTCTCAAAACGTGGTACATATCCAATGCAGTACACCTAGCAAGATTTTCATTAGCGATATGTGACGCTCTTCTAAGCTGGTCGACCAAGGAATTGTCGAGAGGCCGATCACCATCTCCAACCGCAGGCAGAACTTCCTCAGACGTTTCTTACGCAGGCCTGGGATTACCCTTAAACTTGTGTGACGTCGGCAATGAGTTGATTAGCGCCTCGATGAACTTCACATTGAGGATCACAATGCTCATAACGGCTGAGTACAAGTTCTCTGATGCCTCTACCACATCCTTCGTGGATAAATACCCCTGCCACTCGAGAAAAGGACAAGTCAGTGCCTCATTGAACAAATCCATTGCCACGTTTTCAACCGACTATAACAATATTGTGGCATCGCAGTCCTGGTTCCCTTGAGTGACCGGGTAGCACCCAACAGCCAAAGATTCCACCCATTGTGAACACAATGTCTATTCACTATCTCAACAGAAGGCACAAAAAAATTCATCAACTCGTTAGTTTTTAGATTTTTCTATTCAGTTCTAAATGCAGTATTGAGGAATTCAGTCGACAAAGAGGCTAGGGTTATTTAGCAAGTTCAAACTTTACCATGTTACGCTGTTGAGGAACCTAATCGGTGTGAAAGTCGCGTTTAAGATTTCACAATCAGCGTTGTCACCTATTCTGACACAACAAAATAATTCGTTTAATCCAAGACAACAATTCGATTAATCTCGGTGCATGAGCAACTGTATGAGAGTGCTTTCTTCTAACGTAATCGCTTTTGATAAATTTACTCAATCAAAACCTAACGTCGCTGGCCAGCCTCATTTTCCACAGCAACTCAGTGGAAGGCACCATCCATGGCAGACGATCTACTTCCACAGACACAGAGGCGAAGCATCCACGAGCAAAAGTGGTGGACACCAAAGTCTAGTCGCAATTCAAATCTGATACAGTTTCAAACGCCGGACTACATAAACCTGATGAACTGACTTCTCCGAGCCAATCCAAAACAATGCTTCACAACAATCACCGAAATCCAGCAATTTCGAAACACCGGGGGAAAATACCGCTCAAGTAGATCTAAGAAAGCAGCTCCTAAGTGATCGATCGTTCTGTGAATTCAACGACAACGGCAGAGATGGAAGGCAGGGATATCAGCGACAACAGCAGCGCAAAATCGAATCAAACGAGGGTTTCAGGAATCGCCGAGTGCAGAGAGCTGCTGAAGCTCGCAACGTTTGGGGATGACGTTGCGGAATTGGAACACAAATGCGGGCAACAAGGCTGGACAGCAGCTTTTGAATCTACTTTTACACTTTCATACTTTTTCATAAAAGCATTTTAGGTCGGAGAAAAGTAGCCAGCATAATATCATCCGTCGACACAGCACATGATCTCTGAACCCCAATTCATGTCTGTGAATTGTAATTAGTTCTTCATATTTAATTCATCTGAAGTAAGATTTCAACTTTTGCGATTACAATTTTTGTGTGCGTGCATACATATATATATATATAACTATAAATTTGAATCATATCTTCAAAATGTAATATTTGAAACTGGCTTTTTGAAGACTTTTTTGTTTTTTTCAGTATTAATTTTCCTAAATATTTTCAAGAATTCTCAGTAAGATCTTGGTAAATACAAAAAATCTCTTATGTCAACCAAAATAGAAACATATTAACTCAAATCTATTGTATGTTATTGAATGAGCGTTTCTTAATTTAATTTTTTTTTTCGTGCCTTGAACTATTCAACAAATTTTTAATTAAAATTTATACATCATAATAAGGATAAAAGCTAAATACAAATAATTTAATTCTTTAGATGAAAATAATAGATTTTAAACCAATAATATAATGATAGATTAAAAATAAGTCAATGATTGGTGCTCAAAAAAAATTAATATATTAACTTGGATGTACATAAGGACTCCAGGAAATGAGGAAAAACAAATTCCTTCTATTTCAATTTTTGATTTCTGATATTTTATTTTAAATTCTAAAATAAAATTGATACGTTTATTTATTTATTTTTTCCTAAAAACTACTTGCCTTATGTTTTCAAATTAAGTAAGTAATTAAATGATGTTTAAAAACAATTAATTAAGTAAGAAAAAGCAAAAGAGGAGAAGATAAGAGGAGCTGAATCTGCTCGGCCGACGAAATGCACCGAATCGCATGTATCTTAACCAACGGCCTAGAAACGCCACCTGCATTGCATCAACATCACACAGAAAGCAGAGCCTCGCGAACGTGACGCATGCAATCATTCGACGCTGACAACATGGCTCAAAGATATCCGAGATGCGCGAAGACCGACGATCTCCATAGGAGCAACGCAGTGCGACGCATCAGGGCGACCTTTCTTGACATCCGCATGAGCCAGTGACCTCGGGCTATCGATTCAGACCGTGCGACCAGCCTGCACTCTCTACTTTGCCACCAGACACAACGACGCTTCCTAACTCAGGTCGTCCAGGCCGCGATCGCCCTTAAACACTCCGCCCCACCCATGTCAAACGGGTCCATGCGAGAGCTCAGACGAGCAAGTCGTCGGCCATGGATGATCGACGTTCCGAACGCACCAGACGTAACGACGTGCTGCCAGTTCGACGTTGTGATGGCTGTTTTTGCGACCTTGTCACAGGTGCGCAAACCTGAGGACCCTGCTTTCGGAAGGAGTAGTAGCTGTGCACAGAAATTATGGCCGTGAGGAAATCACCATTGTGCTGAACATCTCACTCGAAGTGCAGTTAGGGGGAACATTAATATTCTCCCCTGAAATGAGGCCCCACGGCGGCTGCACTCTTCCGCCTAGTGCGGCCGCAACCCGAGTGGCCTTCAATCCCACGCCAGGCCACTCCTCGGCAGTCGGGTGACGAGCTCGATTCATAAAAGGGCGCATCCGTCGTCGCAGATTCCAATGCCATTAGCACCGTGGGCGCCGCGGACTCGACTCCACGCTTCGATTTCCTTGGTTTACTAATTCATTCAGTTACCTTCCGCTGGACCTCGTGGTTGCGAGCTGTGGCGGGCGTGACAGTGCTGCTGTGTTCAGGCGAATTTTGTGCCAGCCCAGTGTACCTGCAGAGATGTCGACAACAGCTGTGGTCGATCTTCATTCTGCAGCGTCTGCCATGACGCCTTTGGGAGCCCTCAGCACCTACGCCTGCGATGGTTCGGCCCACCGTGGGATGCTTTCGCCGCAGCAGCGGTGCGGCCAGGACGTCCTTCACAGGGGTCGATCTGGGGAAATGCAGGGCGGGGAGGAGAGGCCTGACCGCCCCAATCAGGTGCGTGGCGACGCCAGAGCGACGCGCCTCCAGCGTTGGCAAAACGGTATCGCAGGATGCCTCCCGCCTCCAGTTTCCATTCTCCTCCTTAGACTACCCCGATTTCAACCGAACCGCATTCGTGGAGCCGGATGTATCTGTCAGGCATCATGGGGACCAGAGTGTGGTTGAGAAGAATCCCCCATCGACGAAGCTGGTGCAAGCGCCGAGGAGATCTGTCAAGCCCCGGGTGATCCTTATCGCAGAGCCCACTGCGTGAGCCCACGCATTCACTTCTTTACGTTCGGTTTTAGAGCTCTAACGTGAGCATGCTGCGATCGATCACAATCGACCCTCCACTGCGTCCTGGTCTCACTGCATTCCCTATGCTGAGTCCACTGAGAGAACACGTGCGCTGTGAATGATGCTTGTTACTGTAAGAGAAAGAATACTAAGAATGATAATAAAGCGCGAAGTATATTAATAAATAACTTGATTACATTATAATAAGAGTTTTTTATAATGTCTCTCAGAGAGAAGTAATTATAACTTCTCCATAACTTCTTTGTAATTATTTAAAGGTAATTCTATATTTACTAAAATGTATTAATTAATCTAATATATATTAATAAATCTAGCACCTCCTCTTAATCATCATAGAATAGATTTTATTTGAATTGTTGATGTTGATTAAATCTTTCATAAAATAGTTGTGCTTAGGCTCCAAAAGTAACTTCGTCATTATATTTGCCTTTATTTTATTTGTAGGAACAAATTCCAAGAAAACTTCATTTGCATTAACTTTTTCTTGAATGTAATGGTACTTGATATCAATATGTTTTGTGCAATTATGGAAACATGGATTTCATGTCATTACAATATATGATTGATTATCATAACAAATTATGCTTGATAAACTTACTTGATGTCCAATTTCTTTGAAAATAGTCTAAAGCCACATCAATTCTATTAAAGATGTTGCTACCACATTATATTTTGCTTTCGTACTTGATTGTGCTACCATGGGTTGTTTCTTAGAATGCCAATTCAAAAGAGATGAGTTGAGGTAAAAAAAAATATCTGAAAGTAGATTTTTGAGCATTTAGATCTCCCGCATAATTTGCATTACTTCAACCATTAAGTTGTGGTAGAGATGTAGAATAAGAGCTTGAATAATATAATCCAAAATTTTGAGTTTCTTTCAAATATCAAAGTATGCATTTTAAAGCCATCCAATATATTGGATTAGGATTAGCTATGAATTGTGCCATGTGATATATGGTAAATGCTACATCATATCTTGTACAAGTGACAAGATATTATAAACTCTCAATGAAGCATGCATATGGAATTGATGCCATGAATTTAACATCCTCCCTCTACTCCTCCCTTATAAGGTTGGAACTTTGAAAAAAGCAAATACCAGCCTCAAGAAAAATAGAAATGGCATGACAATCATTCGTTAAAAAATGATTTAAAATACTTGATACATAATTATCTTAAGAAAGAATTAAAGTATAAGTAGCATGATTACGAAAAATTTGAATACCTAAGATATATTTAATTTTGTTGTTGTCTGTGATAGAAAAATGAAAAGAAAAGAACACTTTAATTGAAATGAGATAAGGTAAATCATTTGAAATTAAAAAAAGATCATCAATGTAAAGTCTAAGGTATATAATTGATATAGATAAGTCTTTATAATAAATATTTATATACAAAATCCATTGGTAATTAAAAATTCATCAAATGGATTATACCATATGCAAAGAGCTTGTTTTAATTTATACAAGAATTTAAATAATTGACAAACCTTATTTTTATGATTGAATATGACAAAGCCTTTGATTTGAGTGATGTAATTTTTTTCTTTAAGAACACTATTTAAGAAAGATATAGTAATATCTATTTGATGAATATAAAAGTTCTAATGAGTAGCTAAAGCAAAGAAAAGGCATAATGGTATTATTTAAATGATGGTAAAAAAAGTCTCATGATAATCAAGGCCTTTTTATTGCACAAAACCTCAAGCAACAAAACATGCCTTAAAGCATGCTAAAAAATCATTGGAATTATATTTGCAAATAAGGAGATATAATCATCTATCAATGAGATTATTATCACTCTAGTTTTATGCCCTCTTCATCTACTATTTCTTCCATTGATTTCCTACAAGATTCTTCAAAGAACAAACTACTTTGACAATCTACATGGATTATTTGTAGAACTTGAAGAGCACCAAAGACTAAAAACATTACTTTGTATATTAGTAGATAATCTAGCTACTTAGGTAGATCCACTTTTTATTTGTAAAGTACTTATAAGTGAAAATGCCCCTTATTGGTATTTTTTTATGAAAAGTGAATATAACTCTTTAATCAAGAATGACACATGAAAATTTTTATCTTAGATTTTTAATTCCTTTATTGTGAGCATTAAATGGTTCTTCTATAAATAAAGAGATATATCTTGTGGAATAAATGGAGCCACCAGTGAAGGTGAGATGACTATACGAACCACCCATGGAATTATAGGTAGTATATAGAGTATCCGTGGTGATCTTAGTTTATTAGATAGCACCATGTGCTCCACAATAGATAGGATGGGAGGATTGTGCATCTTCCTTAAAAAAAGAAGAAACTCCATTAAAGAACAAAGGTGTAATAAGGAATTTTTATTAAAGATCACATATTGACTCACAAAGAATTGATGGGTTTTTAAATCATAAATCCAATAGCTTTTAATATTAAGAAGTTTAGTATAGCTAAGAAACAAGCATTGGAGAGTGAAAAGATTAAATTTTGAATATTTAGCATTAGATATTTTAGCAAAAGCTAAACATACAAAAACTTGTAAGAGATAGAGGTTTGATTCAATGCCAATCTATTATTCATAGACAGTAATATTTGGAAAGGAAGAATGATGAGATATATTTTATAAATAATAAGCAGTAAAAATTACTTGAACCTAATAAATAGTATTGAAATTGGCTGCATTTAATATGATATGAGCCAAAT